ATTTATAGAAGAAAAATATATATTTTTCTTTATTAATTACGTTTTCATTGTTCGTTTTTAAGTAAAAAAAATTTACGATGTTTAAATCAGATGATAATTGAAAATTGGAGCTTTTAAGCACCATTTTAAGTAGCTAAAAAAGCATTTATTCGCTTACTGCTGCTCCTCACTTTGAATAAATGCAGTATAAATGATTGTTTATACAGTCGACATCCCCATAACACTGTTGATAATTCAGTTTTATATGAATTCCATGTTTTACGAGTCACTTAGATTTTACAAATACGTGTACCGGGCTGTGAACGGCTCACGTATTTGTAAAATATAAGTGACTCGTACAACATGGAATTCATATAAAACGGAATTATCAACAGTGTTATAGGGGAGTCGACTGTTACTGTACTTTGAATAAAACAAAAATAGTTTCGATTCTGATTTTTTAAATCTTTTCATTGGTGATGAAAACATTCAGACTTTTATAACATTAATGTTAAAGTGTGCATTTGGATCGTTTAATTTCCTCGATATTCCTGCGCTTACCTTAAAGGAAATTTCGACAAAATTATTTTATCTGAAGAGTAATCAGATATACTGAAAGACATTAAATACAATCAGGTTAGACTGTGAATTCACTTGTAATGTTAGAAATAAAATAGATACTGTACTTCTAATGGTTTATACTGTTAGATGAGCACTGAGTTCGAATTTTTCAATATACTTCTTCCTTAGTTTGTAATAAGTTGTATTAAATACCATTGTTTTTTTACAAATTTAATTAAAATTAATTGTTGTCAACTTCTTACTAAAACTATAAAAATTTGGCATTGCACTTTCTCGAGCTCTTTAATCTAGCTCTTGTAAATCTCCATTTGTTCCATATCTTAGCGATGGTTGGTGAGTGTACTTTTTAACAATTTTCGCCTCATCTTACTTTATATCACAGCCTTCTATCTGTGACATTGCTGCTAAAATTGTATACAGTATTTATGGTCCATTTGTACATTGAAATTGTGTTCCTTGAGTCTCAGCATAAGACAGAAGAAACGTATTTGACCCTAACGTAATTATTTTACATCTCTAGATGTTAATTTTTACATAGTATTTTGTATACTCCAGCCTGTCTTTTAATTTGTTTTCATCATTTCATAGCAAGTTGTAAATATTAGCTGTTTTGTAAACTATCTTCGTGTTTTTGTACTGTACGTTACCAGCTATTTTCAGTCGCTTGCAAACGGTTAGCTGATTATGAATTTATTGCTTCTATCGATGTTTTTTGAACAATTATCTGTTTTCTTTATAACTCCATTCGAGTTTTTCTAATGGAGTAAGTTCTATATCCTTAAGTTATCGTTTAAGTTTATTTTTATTTATTGTCAACATGATGATAGCCAATAGGAGTACACTCTAAGCGTTAGTAATTGAAAATTTTCAATTGAAAAATGTCTCAAATATTTCATTATGCACCTTATACTTTATAACTGGTTTTCTTGAGATCTTTATATTGTTGTTCCTGTGTAGAACCCTGAACTGTATAGATATACAGTTTAAGAATTAATGTTCGTAACTGAGATGCAGTTTGTCTTTTTTCACAGAGCTTGGAAGTATAACAAAATGGAAGATAAATCGAACCGTCGCGCAACAGGTTCCAAAGAAAACCATGACAGAAGTAATGAACGTAAAAATTACAAGTGCAAATTTTGCTCAAAGACTTTTTTATATAAATCAAAATTCGATCTACACATGAGAAAATATACGAACGAAAGGCCTTTTGAATGTAAAATATGCAACGGAAGATTCAGACGTAAATATACCTTAAATGATCATGAGAAATTGCACACAGGAATGACACCGTTTCAGAGTGAACTTTGTTCTCGATCTCAAGTTCATTCCTCACATTCATTCTTGCAGGAACCATTAATGTATAAAAAACCTTTAGCACAAACTTTCCAAGATCCGATGATGCAACCCGGACCGTCTTCAGCGCAAACTCTAGAGAAATCAGGAATTCAGAATGAACCTTTTTCATTGCAAATTGTAAAGAAACCACGGATGCAAACAGAACCTTCTTCAACACATACTCTCCAAGAACCATGGATGCCAGCTGGATATTCTTCAACACAAATTGTCAAGGAACCACAAATGCATACTAAATTATTTGCAACCCAAACACTTGGGAAACCATCAATGCAAAGTAGATCTTCACCGCAGACTGTGAAGGAACCAGAGATGCAAATCGAACCATATACAACACAATCCCTTGGGGAACCATGCATGCAATGTAGATCTTCACCACAGACTGTTAAGGAACCACAGATGCAAACAGGACCGTTTTCAACACAATCCCTTGGGCAACCATGTATGCAAAGTACACCTTCACCACAGACTGTGATGGAATTATGGATGCAAAGTAGATCTTCACCGCAGACTGTGAAGGAACCACAGATGCAAACCGAACCATCTACAACACAATCTTTGCAAGAACCATGGATGCAAGCTGGATATTCTTCAACACAAATTGTCAAGGAACCACAGATGCAAACTAAACAATTTTCAACACAATCCCTTCAGAAACCATCGATGCAAAGTAGACCTACACCACACACTGTGAAGGAACCACAGATGCAAACTGAACCATCTACAACACAAATTTCTGAAGAACCATGGATGCAAGCTAAATATTCTTTAACACAGATTGTCAAGAAACCACATATGCAAACAGGACCGTTTTCAACACAAACCCTTGGGGAATCATGTATGCAAAATAAACCTTCACCACAGATTGCGAAGGAACTATGGATGCAAAGTAGAACTTCACATCACACTGTGGAGGAACATGAACGCAAGAAGGACCTTCTTTATCAAAAACCCTGGAGGACTAGTGATATAAGCAGTAGCTTCATCTACACACTTTTTAGAGAAATTATCGATGCAGATAGAACTTTATATATATATGCACTTCTTCAGAAATTTTTACGTAAGCAGGTTTGCTATTAATGCAATTTTGCAAGGATTATTCATGCTAACAGGATCTTCGTTATTTTTAATGTTGCAGAAAATACTAACGCGAATAAGACCTTCTGCAATACAGACTCGGATAAAAGCACGAATGGAAAGCACGAATGGAAAAGGAAATGCAACCAAGATCTACAGCACAAACTCTGTTTCCCATCCATTATTCGTTTGTTGATCTTCAAGTCGAACTTCGAGTAAAGAAGAGGTTCATGCAGGACTTTTTTCTACTGAAATTTCGGAAGAAAGTTGAGAAAGACTCTTGCATCGCATCGATGCAAGAGTCTTTCTCAACTGAATCATTACAGTTAATAGAACCTTCTACTCAAATTCTTCTCAGTTCCCGTGATTCGTTTGTTTCTTCTTCAACACAAATATCGGATGAAAAAGGGAAGCAAGACTGACCAGCTGTAATTCTTAGACTAGAAGCAAGCAGGACTTTTTTTACTGATATTTTGGGGAGAGATGTGATTCAAAAAGGATCTTTCTCATTTGAAGCTTCGGAAATAGTATTGTTGCATGCAGGACCTTCAACACGAACATTATTCAGCTTTCTTGATTCGCCTTCAACTCAAACTTCGGATTAACAAGATTTTCAAGGAGGCTCTTCTAGCCACATCCATCATGACGAACAAGTGAAAGCGAAAAGTTCTACTTAATCCCGACCTCCTTTCTCTGTTTTGCTTCAGCGATCTCAAACGCAATCACCGAGTAAAAAAGAGAAAAATGAAGGTGAAAATAAATAAAAGAGTTTGAAAACAAAAACCGACTAAATCATTAATTTTAAAATTATTACGAATTAATTGTGTTAAAAATTTATCGAACTAAACGAAAGTATTCGCGTTAATATAAAAGCATAGTTTGTTTGTTAGATTATGTCACTGCAACACTTGGGCGATCTCCTAGGTGGATACCTTTCCCTTGGGGAACCATGCATGCAAGGATAATCTTCACCACAGACTGTCAAGGAACCACAAATGCAACCGAAACCACTTTCAACACAATCCCTTGGGGAACCATGTATGCAAAGTAGACCTTCACCACAGACTGTGAAGGAATTATGGATGCAAAGTAGATCTTCACATCACACTGTGGAGGAACAATGAACGCAAGAAGGACCTTCTTTATCAAAAACCCTGGAGGACTAGTGATATAAGCAGTAGCTTCATCTACACACTTTTTAGAGAAATTATCGATGCAGATAGAACTTTATATATATATGCACTTCTTCAGAAATTTTTACGTAAGCAGGTTTGCTATTAATGCAATTTTGCAAGGATTATTCATGCTAACAGGATCTTCGTTATTTTTAATGTTGCAGAAAATACTAACGCGAATAAGACCTTCTGCAATACAGACTCGGATAAAAGCACGAATGGAAAGCACGAATGGAAAAGGAAATGCAACCAAGATCTACAGCACAAACTCTGTTTCCCATCCATTATTCGTTTGTTGATCTTCAAGTCGAACTTCGAGTAAAGAAGAGGTTCATGCAGGACTTTTTTCTACTGAAATTTCGGAAGAAAGTTGAGAAAGACTCTTGCATCGCATCGATGCAAGAGTCTTTCTCAACTGAATCATTACAGTTAATAGAACCTTCTACTCAAATTCTTCTCAGTTCCCGTGATTCGTTTGTTTCTTCTTCTTCAACACAAATATCGGATGAAAAAGGGAAGCAAGACTGACCAGCTGTAATTCTTAGACTAGAAGCAAGCAGGACTATTTTTACTGAACAATTATCAACACAATCCCTTCAGAGACCATCGATGCAAAGTAGACCTTCATCACAGACTGTGAAGGAACCACAGATGCAAACCGAACCATCTACAACACAATCTTTCCAAGAAGCATGGATGCAAGCTGGATATTCTTCAACACAAATTGTCTACGTGTACCGGGCTGTGAACGGCTCACGTATTTGTAAAATCTAAATGACTCGTACAACATGGAATTCTTATAAAACGGAATTATCAACAGTGTTATAGGGGAGTCGACTGTTACTGTACTTTGAATAAAACAAAAATAGTTTCGATTCTGATTTTTTAAATCTTTTCNGATGAAAAAGGGAAGCAAGACTGACCAGCTGTAATTCTTAGACTAGAAGCAAGCAGGACTATTTTTACTGATATTTTGGGGAGAGATGTGATTCAAAAAGGATCTTTCTCATTTGAAGCTTCGGAAATAGTATTGTTGCATGCAGGACCTTCAACACGAACATTATTCAGCTTTCTTGATTCGCCTTCAACTCAAACTTCGGATTAACAAGATTTTCAAGGAGGCTCTTCTAGCCACATCCATCATGACGAACAAGTGAAAGCGAAAAGTTCTACTTAATCCCGACCTCCTTTCTCTGTTTTGCTTCAGCGATCTCAAACGCAATCACCGAGTAAAAAAGAGAAAAATGAAGGTGAAAATAAATAAAAGAGTTTGAAAACAAAAACCGACTAAATCATTAATTTTAAAATTATTACGAATTAATTGTGTTAAAAATTTATCGAACTAAACGAAAGTATTCGCGTTAATATAAAAGTATAGTTTGTTTGTTAGATTATGTCACTGCAACACTTGGGCGATCTCCTAGGTGGATACCTTCTCGAAAGTCTTTTAAGGATAACTGGCCTCTTATAAGGCATTACAGACGAAGTGCGAACCCACAACTGAGTCTGATACAGCGACAATAATTCGGATAGATAATCTGACCAATAACGTAACTCGTTTTATTTCAGACTAGCTGTTTTATTAGCTTATTTATTCTAATGTATTAAATCTCTGTGTTGTCCCGACTCTTGACAGGCGCAACGGACCTGAAACGAAAAAGGTTTCGAAATGCAACTGGCGGAAAAAGTTGTGGCTAAACATTTTGCCAAAAAATAAACCTTGACTAGGTAATTAATTAATTAAATACTTGTAGGAAATTTCAATAAAATCAATTACATCACATTTTTATCATACTGTTAATAGTAAAATGCAATCTGCATTATTGAAAAACAATCGACATTAAAGGCGGATATTAACAGGATCTTAGCGTGAACGGAAAGAGCATCCACAAATACAAACATTTGTGCATGCTTTTTCCGTTTCGAGCAGTGCTTCTGCAGAGAAATACAACGCTTGAACAGACTTGGTATATGAATGTAAAAAAAATGCAATTAACGTAAAATCTATTCAAGCTTTGTTACTTTCGCCAGTCGGTGAGTTTGCTGAAACTTTTAGTGAATTATTCTAATCACTAGATGACAAAACTGTAGAATTTCTATGTGATATTTGGATTCTTTGAAGCGATGTGGTTTACTGTAGTGTAGCATGGAAGACGACGAAGTCCACATTTCAACTCAAAAATAAAACAGGAAGAACTACAGAAGGTTTTCCACGGTCTACAAACTCTATCAGCCGATTGCAGAGACAAAGTTCAGAGGCCGACAACGGTTCACAGATCGGATAAACCTCTGTGTAGAAAAATTATATCGCAGAGACGGCGTTTCTCGACTGTCACAATGTAGACAGCGATTACAAAGAAGTTATTTGATTTACTTTCTAGACTTATTCGATAGCAGGTTTAGACATAATTTTACTCGAGTCGAAGTCGCCATTTTCATTTGTCGGTCGTGTTCAAATGGATATTCTTAATTTAATCAATCTTGCAAACGCGACGAATGAAGAACATCATTTTATGCAACCGGAAGCTACCAGAGGGTAGACGGTGATTTTGTTGCAGTTCACGTCTCTACTGTATGCAGTTATCTGTCAAACTATTATTAAATAAATTTAGAAACTTTTTTGTATAGTGATAGAGACTTTTATAAAAATGAGATCTTGTTTAACGTTTGTATTAAGTTATATATTGCATTATTTATTAATTATTGTTATATCGTTATCAGAACCATCCAAAACGTCTCAAAGGCATTAGTGCATCTAAAGAATGCCAAAAGTATATTTCCGACGCAATCCGAACTACCATTATTACGCACGATTTTTCTTTATTATCTAAGGATAACTTTCCAGGAACAATCGGGGCAATTGATTGCACTCATATTCGTATTTAGTGTCCTGACTGCAGTAGAGCTCAACTTTTTTTATAATAGAAAATTCTATTATTGTATTAACTGCTAGGTAATACAATATCATCTTTACTTAAATATGTAATTTTCTTAACCTCATAATTAATTGAAATTTCAATAAAATTTATTGTAGCTTAAATAACTATTTAATATGTAATGGCCTATATATTTTTCTAACATTTTAAATTGTTATGCCTTGTTATGAAACAGTTATATTCTTGACTATTTCTTTGACATCTGAAGATAAAAATATCATATAATATCTTTCATATCTCAAACTGATAACTTTAATGATAATATATAATTGATGCATGTTTAAATGTATATTTCAGGTAATCTGTGATGGAAGAATGAAAATTAGAAATATTGTTGCTCGGTGGCCAGGTTCAACGAGTGACAGTAGAATTTTTTCTAACAACAGTATTAAAGAAATATTATAATATTGCAATGGCTATCTGGTTGGTGACAGTGGCTATCCTTGTTTGCCGTATTTAATGACCCCATTTCTACATTAGCAAAATCATGCCGAAAGACGGTATAACAAAGCTCATTCGCCAGCAAGAAATATCGTCGAGTAATTATTTGGGGTCTGGAAAAGACGATTTCCAGGTATTGGAAGTTGTCTGAGAACTAAATTAGACAACACGCTAAATATATTAATAGCCACAGTAATTCTACATAATTGGGCCATTGAATTTAAAGAGGAGAAGTTACTTACTGAGCATTTAAATGAAGAAATAAAGGAAGAAATTTCAAGAATGAAGGAGCAATCAATTTCGGAATCTGCTCTTCGAAGATCTATTATACTGCAACATTTCATTTAAATGAAACAGTACTTTAGGACTTTCACAAAAGGTCCTTTTCAGGACCATACAATTTTGATAAAGAGTGAGCCTATTATAGACAAAATAATTCTTCTTTTATTCA